TATTTAGTTTGAAAGAATCGCCTTGAAGCTATATTATTAAAATATTTAATTCTTTCGAGTCAGTGTTAGCTTCCGGGAGTGTGCGAAATTTCTTTAAACCCGCGATCGAGTTATTTAGGAAGTAATTTTCTTTTCTTCAACTTTTATTTAATATAAAATAATTTATTAATTTCGGGAGTGTTCGCAATATTTAAAACCGCGATCGAATTAAATGAAAGTTTTTATTTAAGTTAACACGTGGTCCGGGAGTGTTCGAAATTCTTAATACCGCGTGTGAGTGATTTTTTTTTTGCCAATTTGGAAACCACCGTTCGAGTGCCGCTCCAGGATGGAGATCGGGCATGGGCGAAGGGTTTCCACGGTAAGATTTTTTTATTTTATAATTATAATAATTGAAAAAACATGGTTGTATGAGAAATTGTAATTTTTAATTTTGTTTCTAATTTTGAAATGTTTCTTTTTTCAGACTGAAGGACAGGAAGGAGGATGCAGAGAAAGCATGACCCCTGCATAGTTCCCCGGTCTCCCCGCATAGAAGAGGGGCCACTGGGGGACTGGTCCAGAAGAGGCAATGCTGCCATCGCTCCGTCGAGGTGAATCCGCGATCGGCAAGTGAATTTTATGTTGAACATAGCGACACAACCTGAAATGTTTAATTTCTAAAATTCTATTCTAGAAATTAATTACCACAAATGGCAAACATTATTTTAAAATTTGCTATTTATTTCAGGATTATCATTTCTTCCAATACCCTCCCTTTTTTGTAAATTGTTAATGTATATTTTTTTAAATTAATAATAATAAAATTAAAATTTATTTTGGAAAAAAAAATTAAAAATATGAATAAAATTTATATTAAAAAATAAAGTTTAAATTAATTTGTTTAAAAAAAATTCAAACATCAAAAAAGTTAAATTAATCTGAATTTTTCATTATTAAATTCTCCCCCATAATTTGCTTTGAGAGAGAGAGAGAGAGTAGGAGAGAGAGACTTTTTAAGCTCAGGTGTCGGATACGTCCCGGGACGTAATCCCTAGTGTAGGTCCATTGCGCCTGGGCAGTATGTAAAAAAACTTTCGTCGTTTTTAGAGTTTTCGCGTTTTTTTAGATATAGCCAGGGAGGTCGATAATATTTGTATGAGTGAAGTTAATTTTTTAAATACATATGTATAGGCAGGGAATTATTTTGTGTATGTTTGATTGTTGTTGTAGTAATTTTGCATGATGTATATTTTTTAAAGTGTCGCTATCTTCTAATTAGTCTATAAAATAAGCAGTTTATTTACATTTATATTTGGAAAAATTAATTAAAATTTTTACAAATAAAAGTATAAATAAACTAGAAATTTTTTTGTACTTGTTTACTAACTTTTCTTTCAGCAAAATGATCGTGGTGAGAAAAATATTTATTTTTATTCTAAAATTTTGTAATATTTTTTGTGTAAATTGTGCCCATTTTAAATATATGTACTAATATGTGTTTTTTAATTTTTTTTGTCCGTGTTTATAATCAGAGAACAAATGTACGAATTTATATTTAAAGTCGTAATTATTTATATAACAGAGAAAAATTTACTTGGAACAGGAAAAAGTTTTATTGGTTTTACAGACATAAAAAAAATTATCATTTTTTCAAAATTTTCAAAAAATTCAGTTTTTACGCGGAGGCAGTGATACAGCTAAACGACAAAATGCCTTATTACGTGGGTCGAAAGTTGACAGATATTAAAATTAATAATTATAATTTAATATTACAAGCCTAATTTATCAAAAACAAAAATTTACTAATGTATTAATTTTGTAAAAAATTAATTATTTTTCTCTTTTTTAAGTTACTCAAAAAATAATCATTTTTTTACGCGAAAGATGTGATGTAGTTAAACAACTAAGCACAATAATGATTAATTTATCAGAGTCGCTAATTTACGAATATTATTTTTTTTTAATTTTTCAATCAATTAAAAAAAAACTTTTCAATACTACATTTGTCTTAGGTTATAAACAATGCCTATTTTTCAGGTTTACTAATTTCATTCTTCTTTTTTCAGCTTACTAATAATAAATTTTTTTCTTTTCAGGTTCCCCGGTAGAAAAAATTCAATGCGCTACTAACACTGTTAGATTACATAAGCCCCAATATAGAGTCTAGCAATGCTCGCTAGCGCCATGATTTTTTTCTACCATAATTTTACTAATGATTGTTTTTTCTGTTTCAGGTATTACTAATAATTAATTTTTTTCTATTTCAGGTTTTACTAATGAATGATTTTTCTGTTTTAGGTTTTACTAATGAATTTTTTTTCTATTTCAGGTTTTACCAATGAATGTTTTTTCTGTTTCAAAATTTGCTAATGAATTTTTTTTCTGTTTCGGGTTTAACTATTAAATGTTTTTTCTATTTCAGGTTTTACTAATAAATGTTTTTTCTGTTTCAGGTTTTGCTAATGAATGTTTTTTCTGTTTCAGGTTTTACTATTAAATGTTTTTTCTGTTTTAGGTTTTACCAATTAATGTTTTTTTTTGTTCCAGGTTTCACTAAAATATATTTTTTGTTTCAGGTTTTACTGATAAATGTTTTTTCTATGCGAGGTTTTACTAAGGAATGTTTTTTCTGTTTCAGGATTTGCTAATGAATTTTTTTTCTGTTTCGGGTTTTACTAATAAATGTTTTTTCTGTTTCAGGTTTTACTATTAAATGTTTTTTCTGTTTCAGGTTTTACTAATAAATGTTTTTTCTATTTCAGGTTTTACTAAAAAATGTTTTTTCTGTTTCAGGTTTTACCAATGAATGGTTTTTTTGTTTCAGGTTTCACTAAAATATGTTTCTTTTTGTTTACGGTTTTACTAATAAATGTTTTTTCTATTTTAGGTTTTACTAATAAATGTTTTTTCTATTTTAGGTTTTACCAATAAATGGTTTTTTTGTTTCAGGTTTCACTAAAATATGTTTCTTTTTGTTTCCGGTTTTACTAATAAATGTTTTTTCTATTTCAGGTTTTACTAATGAATGTTTCTTCTGTTTCAGGTTTTAGTAATGAATGTTTCTTCTGTTTCAGGTTTTAGTAATAAATGTTTTTTCTATTTTAGGTTTTACCAATAAATGGTTTTTTTGTTTCAGGTTTCACTAAAATATGTTTCTTTTTGTTTCCGGTTTTACTAATAAATGTTTTTTCTATTTTAGGTTTTACTAATGAATGTTTCTTCTGTTTCAGGTTTTACTAATAAATGTTTTTTCTTTTTAAGTTTTCCTAATAAATTTTTTTTCTCTTTCAGGTCTCTAACAGTCTGAAAATATTTCTGCAATATTGAAAATATTTTAACTATTTCAATAATATATTTTGTTCTGAGGAGTGGTTAGGCCTAATGCACATTTTGACCTCGTTCACAAATTGAAAAAATTAATTTTAATTTGTAATTGAACCAACTGTGCAATGGGGAAGCACGTTAAAGAGCGCGTCTAATGTTCCACCTCTCGAGTGATGCGGAAGAGAACATATTTATTTTTTCAGAAAAGAATATATTAACTTAGGTTTTCAAGAAAATTATATTTATAAAAATTAAGTAATTAAGAAAATTTTAACAAAAATATAATTTCGACTAAAAAATTCTACCTTGAACCGCTAGGTATTTTTTTAAAAATATTTTTAAAAAATAATATTTAAATGAAATAAATAAAATTTACTTTAAAAAGGAAATAAATTCTTGTTTTGTGAGGGAAAAAAATTATATTTACTATGTCCATTATAGATATTAAGCAAGATAAACGCACGTGTGTGTAGGTGATACTTTTTCATAGTGAAGCATCAAAGTAGCTATATTGTACATAATAGAGCGACTATATATTGGCAAATCGCGACTCCCATATAGCAAAATACAATGTGGGAAAAAACAAATGGCTCTTGGATGAAAGAGTGTTTATCGTGATATGTGAGTGGGCGCGGTGTTTTAAATACATATGTTTAAATTTTAAACGAATCCCAATAAAAAAAGCAACATCCATTCGCATTATATATTCTAGTTCCAATTAATTTTTTTTTCCATTCATCCAATTAAAATTCTTATATACTTTTACTCTCTTCATATGTGTATAATTTGGAATTACATTATTGTCAAACTGTCTGATAAATTAGTGTGAACATGTGTCGACGAATTTGCTTCAGCAAAATTATCTCTCTCTATATTTGATGAATTATATATTGTGTAAAGTGGGTCACTAATTCATATTCAAGTATAAGAATTTTCACTAATTTTTAGTTTTTCTTTTATTTTACTTGTGAAAAATTACTAAAAAAAAAATTATTTGAAAATTAAGTGGTATTTATTTTAAATACAGAAATTTTTTATTCGAAAACAGTTTATATTTGATTGAAATAAAAATTGTTTGATCTAAATAAATATTTATATATTTAATAATAGCCTAGTAACCGATTATTTGAAGAAAATAATTTTTTTTAGTGTGATAATTCCCAAAAATTAAATTTACAAATTTTTATGCAAATTAGTATTGAATAACTTTTAGATTTAAGAAAACTTATCAATAAAAGGGGGCTATACTATAAACAAATAAAATATAATAAATATGTTACATGAAATGTGAAATAATGAAAAATAATATAAAAGTTAGAAGGATAGTTGAATATTTAAACGTTTGACTTTATTAAGCAAAATTTTGTTCATTTTTTTAACATTGCATGTCGTTAAATATTTATCTTAAACTGTTGTCGACATATATTTTGTTTCAAGAAATTAATTTTCAAAACTTGTCTTATTTTTACTGTTTTAAATTTTTTCACATTTATTAAATGTATATCCATATGTAAAAAAAAATATTTAAAAAAACTTGCAATTAACATTTCTTTGTGAATAGTTTATAACAATATATTTTTTCCAAAATACATCTACATTAATTAGTTTTATTTTTTACATTCTAACTTTTTTTTATTAAAAAATATAAATTAGAGAAGTAAAGAATAAGAAACAGGTTGTAAAAATATGTAAAATGTAATTGAAATGAAAGATTTATTACTTATTTAAAAAATCTTTTTAAATTTACAAATAAAATTTTCGATGTATATTATTTTATTTTTACAAAATTAAACAATTTTTTATTCAAATTATGTTTGCAACAATGTTGATATTTCACAGGGATTTAAAATTTTTAATAATTTAAAAAATAATAAAAAATAATAATTTTTAAAAAATTTTAAATACCTGTAAAATATCAACATGATATCACAGTGATATCACCATGATATCACCGTGATATGACTATGATATCACCTCGATGTCACCATGATATCACCGTGATATGACTGTGATATCACCTCGATGTCACCGTGTGATATCACCGTGTGATATCACCGTAAGGCGGACATTTTGACATTTTCCTGATGTCACGATGACATTCCCCAGTGATATCACCGTGACATCTGGTTGATATATCGTGCTACTTGGGTTTTCTTTCTCTTTGTATAAATTAGCCAATTTTTCAAGTTTTAAATCTTTTAAATCGTTTAAAGATAATAAAATTTTCTCATAGTCATTAAGTCCAAACATAAATCTAGATCTGAAGTTATATTCAGCCAATTGTTCAGTATAAAGAATATTATCCATTGGCACGCTTCTTTGTGAAGTATACCTGGATTAACAGATTTCGTTGGTGGTATATTCCATTCAATCGTATTATAATAAAGTTGATAATTTTTTGTTATTTTTATATCTGCATCTAGATTAAGATAAGGCATAAGTCTTCGAATAATCTCACCTCTTTCCATTTTAGACACATCAATATTACTTCGTAGAATATCATTTTTATCCATTTTTAACTTTTGATTAGAAATTTCATTAGTTGTTGGATTATATTTACGATAAAACATTTTTTCCATGTCCTCCTTTACTTTCAATACAGGAACTTGAAATGGATTGCTTTCGATGGTTCTCAGTTATGCAATATTTCTTGATGATGATACGCATGTTGGTCCAAAGAAGTTCTCACCGCCGGGATAATAGTATTGAACGAGTTTATAATTATTCTCTTCATGTAAAACCTTAGGTATTAAACCATTAAATGTGGTTGACAATTTCATATTAGTATTAAGCTTTTTTAACATAGATGTTAATATCAATTTTAGATTTTTATTTATAGAAATGTTCAGAATTTTTTGAATCATAATTTTATATGTCTTGTGCAATGATTGGTTACCAAACTTGCTTAATGTGAAGGTTAATTCAAATCGAGGATCTATCACTTTTAGGAAGGTAATGGATAAATCTTTTAACAGGTGCTTGTTAAGAATTTCCTGCGAAACGGTTCTAGCCAAAGCTTTTAAAAATTGATACAATGAAGTTAATCTAGTGGTCTTTAAATATAGAGTTTTGGAATAAAGCTTATGAAAATTTATTTTCACATATTAATTTAACAATGAATAAAATTGCTGTACAATTTTATTCATTGTTAAATTAATATGTGAAAATAAATTTTCATAAGCTTTATTTCAAAACTCCATATTTAAAGAAGTTTGATATTTCTCCCTGAATATTTCTCTTTCTTTAGAGGCGTAAAAAAATAGTGCCGGTATTAAGAAAATTTTTAACCCTATTTCATAAGTTTCGTTTCCGTAATGCTCTTGTAAATCAAACTCTCGTGAAATTAAAATGTAATCACCAAACGAAGCGTTTTGAGTTTTTCCAAGTATAAATCTGACAATTTTTAAACCAGCCATTGCATATATATAATCCACTTCCATTATGTTCATATCTGTATTTTCTGGCACGGGAAATATTGGCAGTATATATATTCAAAAAAAACTTTTTTAACAGACAAAAAATTGAGTTTTTTGCTATTGTTTGTTTTTAAACATGATTTTGTAAGTTGTATTATTTGCCTTGTTGATTATTCCTGTTAAATATTCGTTAACGTTACAATAGTGAGAAAATAGAGCAGTGTTGATGATTTACTGGTATGTTTCATTTACATATTGCAAATCAAGTGTTTCATTTTCGCCGCCACCATAAAGATCAGTTCCTATTAGTACATTTTGTAGAAGCTGGAGCTTTTTCTCGGATTCATTGTTGGAATTATTAAGGTATTTAAAATAAGTATTGAGTACAGTGACAGTCTGATTTCGCTGATTCAATGTAATTAGGCCTTTGTTGTAAAAAATAACTCAGAGAGTGGTAATGTAGTGACAAATAGATAGAAATTGAAAATTCGATGAATGTTGTATACGAAAACTAACGTGTCGTTCATCATGAGCCGATTCGCTTTTTGTTGTTTTTATTTTTTAATGTTCTTACTGTTGATGTTGTATCTGTACACTTTCGATAAGTTTTAATTTACCCTTGGCAAACCTGAAATAATTATATTGACATTTTGTTTAATTGAACGTATGAATAAAAGAATTGGTCGAGCACTTGGACGCACTTTTTGATTGTAGTCGATTAGCAATGAGCGATCATGCGCCACTTACTGCTACTCGATTACTATTAAGTTGGTTCTACAATGAGCACTTTTCGTGACTGTGATTGGTTTCCATTGTCCCCACTCGCCATTTGTCATAATTCTCGTCAACTACCGCACCCTTCTATAGTAAAAATTTAGTAACAATTATAGTAATTTTTAATTTTAACAATAAAGTCACTATAGATTTTCACTAGAGCAGGGTGCGGTAGTTGACAAGAATTATGGCAAATGGCGAGTGGAAACAATGGAAACCAACCTTCATGACCACTGTAGAACCAACTTTAGAGGGCGCGTCAGAGCATTCGACATGTTTTTTTTCAATTGTTTTTAGCAAGCCGTTTACGAGACAAGAATTTTTCATAATCAGAATTTTCATGATTTTTTATTTTTGAATGCTCATGGGTTAATTTAAACTATTTGATTAAGTCAATTAAACTTTTTCTCTGATTGTGAGGAATAAGATCGTAAAAATTTCCCTGAGGTGAAATTTAATTTTTCAAAATTGACCCATTTAGAAGGGAAGATATAAATAATAATATAAGATTTAAAAATCATATACTTTTTGATGAAATAACCGTTAAAAAAATTTTAGGTACATGGAAAAAAATAGTTCGTAAAATTTTCGTAAACTAGTTGTTCACTTTGGGGACGGGCCCCCAAAGTTAGGAAATCTTTCATTAACTTTTTTCAAGATTTCACGAACTTTTTTTTGTGCGCGTGTGCAGACATTGATTGTCTTGAACAGAGTGATAAACTTTCGTGAAATCTTGGAAAAAGTTAATGAAAGATTTCCAAACTTTGGGACCGTCCAAAAGTGAAGAAGTAGTTTACGAAAGTTTCCCGAACTATTTTTTTCCGTGTACATTTTATGAATTTTAACAAAAAATAAAATTATTATATAGTTAATTTTATTCACCGTGAATGACCACTTGTAACGTAAAACAACTATTTCAAACTGTCTCCAATATAGAAATGAAGCAAAATGAAAGTTAGATGGATAGTTAAATATTTCAACATTTGACTTTATCAAGCAAAATTTTATTCATTTTTTTTAATATTGTATGTCGTTAAATATTTATTTTAACTATTGTCGACGTATCGATATATTTTGTTTCCAGAAGTTACATATATAGTTTTCGACATGTTTCTTATTTTTACTGCTTTAAAATTTTTCATTTTTTTTAAATTTATGTCTATTTGTAAAAATAATATTGAAACAACATGAAACTAACATTTTTTTCGTAACTAATTTATAACAATATATTTTTTCTAAAATATATCTACTCTTTTTTTTTGTCAAGTCTTCTTTAAGACTTATTACAATTAAATTTATATTTGTGTTTTCTTTAATTTAACAAAAACTTTACTTGCTTCAAAAAAAAATTGTTTAATTTAAAAAAAATATTTTTTCAATTTGAAACAAAGTTTTTTTTTTGTAAGTTATTTACAATAAGTTTTATTTAAAAAGTTTTAGGGTAACGGCACCAGTGAAGGAACTGACACCAGTGAAAGAACAAATTTCATGTTTTGCATTCTAATTAGTGTAATAAGCAATTTGGTATTATAAATTATATATTTTTATGTTCCTTATTTAATTTACGTCTTTAGTATCTAAGATACCTAGAGAGATAACACGTAAATTTTATAAAAAAAAATTTTTTTAAATGTTGTGTTGCAAATTTATCTTCAACAATAAGAACTCTTCTCTGACACGTTATTTCTTTTTTCACATTTAACTAATTTAAACTGCCTTAAATCGTCGGTCTGCTTTAAACTAAATTTATCTTGTGTATTAGAAATACTTCTTTTCATTTAAAAGCTAATAAAATATTAATTTGCCATAAGAAAAGCAAATTCCGTCATTGGGGTTTTTTTTTTTTTATTTACTAGTGAAAGAACAGAAATGTTTTTTCACTGGTTCCAATGCAATCCAATGAAGGAACACCTTCAACGAATAGTCTGAAGTCAAACAAAAAAATGACAAAATCAAATAGGTTAACACTGTTAGGTTACAATAATATTGTCAAAATAAATTGCAAGTAGATGATTGATTATAGGTTATAAATGCATTTTCAATTAAAAATAAGATTCTGCAAACTTAGTTAAAAAATATTCATAATTATCATTAATTTACCTTTATTTTAGTATATTACAAACATTTTATTACTTTATCTTTGTTTTAATATATTTTTTAAATATATTTTAAATATATATTTCACATCGTTCTTTCACTGGATGCAGAAAATTCTTTCATTAGACAATTTGTTCTTTCACTGGTGAAATAGGTATGTTTTACTTATTAATTAAAATTTTAATTAACATCTTATATTTATGAAAATTAAATGTGACCTTCGCATTCTACACTTAATTAGCTATCGAAAAAAAATTGGTAAAAAAATTTTCAATAACTGCATTCAAAAATAATAAATGATAAAAGGGATATAGTTCCGAATAGCACATACCTCCGATTTCAATAAAACTTAGTATCCCTACGTAATTTGGTGCGCTGATTACCAAAATCATAGTGAAAATTGGCGGAAATTTAATTATCATGGTAAAAACCATAAAAAACACCATAAAATCATGGTTTTTTTCGATTATCTCGTAAAAAACAAAAAACTTCGAAAAAAGTTTTAGACGAAAGTTGTAGATCTCTAAAAAACACTCATTTCATGTTTTATGCATTTTTTACCAAAAGTCATTATTTTTCGAGAAAAACGCAAAATAGTAAACACGGCCTTCGGCCGCGTAAGGTACTGCTCGCTTCTCTTTTTAAGAAATCTTGGCGAGAGGGGGTGGATGTGTCCGAAAGTAATTTGCAGAAATTGTGGGGTGGAGTCTACAGCAGCGGTAAACGCAAAATAGTAAACACGGCCTTCGGCCGCGTAAGGTACTGCTCGCTTTTCTTTTTAAAAAAACCTTGGCGAGAGGGGGTGGATATGGCCGAAAGTATTTTGCGGAATTCGTTGGATCCTGAGTAATGGTGAATATGATAATTTCTGCAAATTACTTTCGGACACATCCACCCCCTCTCGCCAAGATTTCTTAAAAAGAGAAGCGAGCAGTACCTTACGCGGCCGAAGGCCGTGTTTACTATTTTGCGTTTTTCTCGAAAAATAATTACTTTTGGTAAAAAATGCATAAAACATGAAATGTGTGTTTTTTAGAGATCTACAACTTTCGTCTAAAACTTTTTTCGAATTTTTTTGTTTTTTACGAGATAATCGAAAAAAACCATGATTTTATGGTGTTTTTTATGGTTTTTACCATGATAATTAAATTTCCGCCAATTTTCACTATGATTTTCGTAATCAGCGCACCAAATTACGTAGGGATACCAAGTTTTATCGAAATCAGAGGTATGTGCTATTCGGAACTGCACCCGATAAAAGTATGCATTTCCTTAAATGTTCTTTCACTGGTGCCGTTACCCTATGTAGAATAAAAAAATTTTCTTTAAATTACAGAAAACATTTCTTTGGCCCTATATATCAAAGAAATACTTCTTTGATTCAAATAAACATTTTTCTGGGTGCAATAACATTTTTTTATACTCTCGTTTTTTTTTGTAAGAAAAACAATTTTGACGAGAAAAAAAAGTTATAAAAGAAAAAATGAATAATTTTATGAAAAAATTTAATATGTTTATATGTAGAATGATAGCTAATGTCTTAGTCAGAGTATATGGGATATTTTAATGAGACGCGAACCTGAAGTTTACAGATCCAAAGGAAGAAATCCGAAACGGTACCGCAACTGAGATGACTCTTTTTCCTCTTATCCCTATTTCTTTATTCGTATTCCTCTTTCTCTCTCACTCACTTTCTATTTATTGTTTCCACTTCTTTCTTAACTCACCTGGTGCGTCTTCTACTCTTTATTGCGCGCTTTGCTTCTTTGTTAGCTTAACCGTCTCCTTTTCACACAGTGGCCTATGGGGAATCTTGTTCTCATTCTCACTTTATCACATTCTGCACTTTAAAGTGAATACAGATTATTCAAATTTTATTTATATCTTCTTCTTCTTCTTTTATTATCCCTCGTTAACGTATACTACCAAAATCCAATGAAAATATAAAAATAATTTTTTTTTGAGTATTATGAAATCCAATTTTTTATTTATTATACAATTAAAAAAAATATTTTTAATTTAAATAGAGAGATATGTTTGAGAGATTTTGTTTAATATTGAACACAGTTTGTAAGTTTTATTTTAATATATGGAAAATATCTATTATTATTTTCATTCGAAAATATTATTTGTTTGAATGAAAATTATAATATTATGTTTGATTTAAATTTTAAGGTTAGTTTAGAAATTGGCGGATGTTATGGAGCTTCTACAATAGCTCCGTTTGGCAAGTCCAAGTCGGTTGGAGTTGGTTGCGCACGCATGGTGTTGCGAACTATAAGGTAGTTCAAGTTGGGTGGGGGAATCCAATATGGCTGCTCTCAGCTGTTTTACTGGAGGACAAGCAAACCGCTGTCACTGTACATTTTTCACTGAATTTGAAATATTTTCTTATTAATTTATTTTTTATGCAATACAGGAATAATAAAATGGTTTTATTTTGCTGTATTGTTGGATGTGGAATGCGAGGAGACAGGGATGAAACTTCCTTTTTTAGAATTCCTGCAGTAATAAGCGTCAACAACAGAAAATATAAAACTACTTATTGCAATCCTTTCAATACTTTGTCGCGGGTAGAAAGTGATTTAACAAAAAGTGGCGATGAATTCATTAAATTATCGAAAACAAGACAGGAAAAGTGGGTAAATGCAATAATTAATTGATAGTTAATAGTTAATTGACACGAATGAAATCGTATCTTACTGGGTACCCTTCATAATAATTAGATAATAAGTTTAATTGAAATTATTAGTATTATTTTTGCTACAAATACCCTTTTTTCGGAACGGTGATACTTATCAAGATCCGTTCTATTTTTAATAGAAACTCCCTTCTCATACCCAAGATTTTGACATGGTGCCCAATCTGGATCAGTATAATTGTTTATGTTAGCAGGGCGTCCTATATAAAATGTAATTTCTATTATGCATGGATTTATATGTTTCAGATATTAATATTTTAAAAATATAATAAATAAATTATATTAATTAATGGTTAATTGAATGAATTAATAATAAGAAAAGTGTACAATATTGTTATGCATAATCGACATAAACAAAAGGAAAACATAACCTACTTACCTGTCATAAAATGTTTAGAACATACTCGGAATATTTTTAATTGGGAAGCAGTCAATTTTCCCCGCTTTATTGCATTTACCCACTTTTCCTGTCTTGTTTTCGATAATTTAATGAATTCATCGCCACTTTTTGTTAAATCACTTTCTACCCGCGACAAAGGATTGAAAGGATTGCAATAAGTAGTTTTATATTTTCTGTTGTTGACGCTTATTACTGCAGGAATTCTAAAAAAGGAAGTTTCATCCCTGTCTCCTCGCATTCCACATCCAACAATACAGCAAAATAAAACCATTTTATTATTCCTGTATTGCATAAAAAATAAATTAATAAGAAAATATTTCAAATTCAGTGAAAAATGTACAGTGACAGCGGTTTGCTTGTCCTCCAGTAAAACAGCTGAGAGCAGACATATTGGATTCCCCCACCCAACTAAAGCTCCATTAATTTTCACTGGAATTCCAGTAGAACGTTCGAAATATGACATATCTTTATATTTTTAGCACCTGCTGAACCCTGCTTTTCTATATTCAAGTTCCTCGCCCTGTATCGAAAAAAGCTACGCAAGTGTAACATTTCGGATGTTCCACTTATTATTTTATATTTATTGTCAATAGTTGGTTTCCATTGTCCACACTCGACATTTGTTATAATTCTCGTCAACTAACGCACCCTAATCTAGTGAAAATTTAGTAACTTTGTAGTAACTTTTAATTTTAACAATAAAGTCACTAAATTTTCACTAGAGCAGGGTGCAGTAGTTGACGAGAATTAT